GTCGGGGTCCGCGGCGCTCGGCCCCGGCAGCAGGCGGGCCCAGAGCACGGCGCCGGTTGGGCCGGGCCGGGTTGCGGTGCCGCAGCCCGGTGCCGAGGTTACCGAGCGCCCGGGCGTGTCTGAGGCGGGAGGGTTTCCGGGTGGAATCTGGGTTTATCCCCGGAGCGCTCCCGGGACGCGGCGGAGCGGAGCCGCTCACGGCGGCCCGGTGCGTTCGTTCATTGCAGATAAAGCCACGAGCCAGCTCCTGCTGGAGACAGACTGGGAATCCATCCTGCAGATCTGCGACATGATCCGTCAGGGAGACACCCAGTAAGTGCTCCTGGGCTTTCCGGCGTGCTGTGGGCACAGCTCCGCTGTCTGTGCAAGGAAGGACCGACCCTTCGAGGGTCTCGGAGCTGCCAGCCCGTGGAGACACACGTCTCCTTGTGCCCTTCCATAGGAGCATCAGAGGGGCTGTACAGCACACCCTGATGTGCTGTGTGCTTCCCAGACCCTGGGAGCTGCAGATTACCCCTGGCCTACAACCCCTAGGGAAACTCAAGCTTGAGTGCTCTTATTCCTTCCCAGTTTCACTCAGTGAATCGTGTACCCCTGAGCTAACTGTGCCCTTCGTGTCAGGGTGGGGATTGCTGCGTTGTCAGCAGCGGGCAGGATCTCCCCCCAGATCCTTGATCCCCTGAGAACATGTCCCCTCTTCCCCTACCCAGAGCGAAATACGCCGTCAATGCCATCAAGAAGAAGGTGAATGACAAGAATCCCCACGTGGCCCTGTACGCACTGGAGGTAACGGCACCTGGCTGGGAGCACGGCGGGGGCTTCTTACTACCTGCCTTCAGGCTGCACAGCTTCCTGCTGCGCAGTGTGGAGCCAGCCTCTTCCTGACTCTGGCACAGAGGTTTTGGGGTGATCAGGTCAGGCCCTTCATGCTTTAGTTCCATCTTGGCTTTGGAACAGGCAAAGCTGAGACTTGGGCTGCTCTCCCTGGGGTTGGTTTTCCACAGAGCAGAAGGCCCCCAGCCCCTCACAGAGGTGAAGGACAGCTGCAGGGAGTGGATTGACATGTCCCCAGCACACCTCATTGCTTAAGTAGTGCCCCGTGTTCAGCCTGTAATGTGTGCTGGGACCCCTACAAGTTGCAGGGGAGGCAGGAAGCTCTGGGCTGATGTTGTCTTGGGCCTTGCAGGTCATGGAGTCGGTCGTTAAAAACTGTGGCCAAACAGTCCATGATGAGGTGGCCAATAAACAGACCATGGAGGAGCTGAAGGAAATACTCAAGGTAAATAGATGTATTTTATTGTCATTTTTTTGCCTGTGGAAAAGCATCAGCAGCAGCAGGAAGAAATGTATGTGTCCTCTCGTGTCCTCTTTGGGTAAGGAGCAGAAGGGAAATTGGAAACACGTGTTAGAAAAGAGCAGACTATCGTGTGGTGTGAAAGGGTGAGTGTAGGCAAGGAAGGAGGGCTTCTGGGAAGAGGAAATGTGGTGGGAGCAGAGGTTTGTCTATACTGTGAAGTGGCAGGAATGTGCTGCGGAGGCATGGGCCATTCCATGAGAAATGCTTCTGGATGCAACACTTGGGTTTGGACAGCAAAGGGAAACAGATGACGGCGTGGCACCTGTACCAAGGACCTGGGCAGTGGCAAGGTGAATTCCCTCCCATGGAGCAATGTGAGACACATAGGCAAGAAACAAAGGAAAAACCAACTGGAGCTGCCTCTGTGTCATGGCCATTTCATTGGCACGTTGAGTTGTTCAGGACCTCTGCAGGATGTGACCATGGCTGCTGGCACTGGCAAGTTGTTGTTACAAGCTGTCACCAGTCTGATGCCTGCTGGAGCTTCATGTGTCCTTGGACTGGGGAATTCCATTGGTGAAGTGGAAATGAGAATTCTTGTCTCCAGCTTGCAGCTCAGAACAGCAATGCCCAGACAAGAGCTTATTAGAATCGTACTGTTCCTTCTTACAGCTTCTGTCTTACACCAGAAATAAACAAACAGGTGACCCAGATCCTTGGAGGATGAGCTGTGTGAGTCCTGTCACCTCACACACCGAGCAAGGTGTCTTCTCCTGTCACCTTCCTGTTAGGTCTGACTCAGTCCCCATGCAGGATCATCTTCTGAGACAGGAACACTGCCATAGCATGACAGCCAGGTGTGGTAGCACAGCTGCTCCAAGGGCTAAGGAGATTGAATCAGATCCAGGGATTTTGTGGTTCTCTCAGTCCTTGCCTGCCTCAGGAGTTTCCCAACTGCTCCATTCTCCTCCCACACTTGGAACTTTGCTGCTCATGAACACCCGATGCTGGTAAAACAGTCCATGTCAGGGCTGTGACATGTATGGAATGCAGGATTTTGCCAAACGTTCTAGAAGTTGGAGCTCCCAGAATTGTCAGTAAGTGATGCTGTGTGGATCAAGGTCTTGGCTAAAATCAGAGCTTGACAGTGCTCCTGTGCTTCCTGGGGATTTCTGGAACAGCCAGTCATGTGGATGTGATCATTTGGGCAGCTGATGATGCGAGGCTGAGGCTGGCTGAGGTCAGAACAGGCTTGCCAACTTTCCTCCAGTTCCTTGAAGCGTGATGCAGTTGCTCCTGCGTCCAAAGGGCAGATGTCCCAGCTGTCCTCGCTGTGTCACATCCTGAGATGGCTTTGAGAACTCCTGGAGTGGAGGTGCTGACACCCTCCAGGCACCTCCACCACTGTCAGTGGGCAGGCCAGGCGGGCTGTGCTGTACGGGGCAGCTGGGGCTCCACCGTGTTCTGAGTGTGGGATGGGTGGCTCTGGTGAGGAGGTGGACAGAGCTGCTGGGCATTTGCTCTAAGCATCAAGGCCACAGCTCTGTTTAGTTGGTCTGTGCTGCTCCAAAGGACATTCTGTTGTTTGTGCTGGAGGGTGCAGTGGGGCAGCTGAGGGGGTCTGTTGTCTGTGCTGTGCATTGTCCTTACTGCAGGTTTCTGACAGCTCTTGCCTCTGCCGAGTACTCTTAAAGTCTCTCTTTCCTGAATGGTATTTCTGGCTTCTCTTCAGGGGGTTCACACCATCCTTAGGGTTTCAGGGACATTTTCTGTGATGTTTTTTTCTCCTCTCTTCCTGCACAGAGGCAAGTGGAGACGAGTGTCCGCAGTAAGATCCTGTACCTCATCCAGGCCTGGGCTCATGCCTTCCGCAATGAGCCCAAGTACAAGGTGGTGCAGGACACCTATCAGATAATGAAGGTTGAAGGTGAGGACTGTGGCCACAGGTGAGGGGACACCTGGTGAAGCAGCTCTGCCTTGGCAGTTCCCTGTCTGGTGTGAGCAAAGTCTGGACTTGCAGCAGAGCTTTTGGTTCCCAATACCCAATGAACCCTTGAGGGTGCTGCAGACATGGGACAGTCCAGTGTTCCCAGGACCAGGGCAGCCTTGCTCTGGGCCTCCAGCCCAGCCAGTGCCTCGGGGCTGGCAGGGAAACCTGAAAAGCAGGAGCTGCAGCTGTTCTTGGGGAGACTGGCAGCAAGTCATCGTGTCCTCTGGGAGGGATTTGCTGTGGGACAGCTCCTTCCTCACAGGCTTTTGTTCCTGCTCCCAAGATGGGTCCACACTCACACTTGCTGACACAGTGTTGGTGTGACATTTTCCCTTCTGTCCCAGGACAGCAGGGTGCACTTCAAGGGCAGGGACACACTGCTGCCTCTGCTTCCTTCTGTGCATCACAAACTCTATGCAGTGGCACAAGCTTGAAGGGTCGATCCACCATCCTGAGCTGGTGTTGCCAAGCTCTGGCCCTTCAAGGGCTGAAACTCTCAGCCCTGCCTGCTGGGCTCTTTATCCCCCTCAGTTCAAAGAACTGAGAAGCCTTATCCAGAGGCCTATGATGTCCCTTGTGGGTGTGTAAGGGAAACATCTAGGGATTGTCTTCAGACCATGGCTGAGGGGAGCCTGTTTCTGGTGTGTCAGAGGGAGGTACTGGTCAAGACAAGAGGTGCTGCAGAGCTGGCACCTATGGCATGAGCTTGCAGGCACATGGCCTCCCTGTGCCAGAGGATTCCTCTCACAACGGGGCTCCACTTCTTCTCCTGCAGGTCACGTCTTCCCAGAGTTCAAGGAAAGCGATGCCATGTTTGCTGCAGAGAGGGTGAGCTCTGTGGTGGGGGGAGCAGCTGGCACTGTGGGACAGACCTGCTTTCCCATCCCCTTCCTGCCAAACCTGCAGGTCTTGCGTTCCTCCATTTTATGTGGGTTGGAGACCTTGTTGGGAGAACTGACCAGGACAGGGAGTCAGACTCATCATTCCTCCTGCTCACTGGCCTTGCAGCAACTTGGCAGGCTGGACATGGCAGCAGGGCATTGCTGAAGCGATTGCTGTGCAGACACTTTCCTAGCAAATCTTGTACTGACTGGGAAAGCATCACAGTCTCTGAGGAACATGAGAGGAGATAACTGAGGGAAATAAATATTTCCTGTTGAACTGCAATGCCTCCAGTCTCCCCCATGAGACATGAGAGCCCTGTTGGCCATCAGGGCTCCTGAAAGGCCCGGTGCAGATGCACTTCTCCCTCCTTACGCCCTTTCCCTTGACCCCTACAGGCTCCAGACTGGGTGGATGCAGAAGAGTGTCACAGGTGCCGCGTGCAGTTTGGCGTTGTGACACGGAAGGTGGGTGCAGCTCCTGCTCCTCTGGGTTCCCTGCTCTACACAGCCCTTGGGACTTGCAGAACTCCCTGCAGGACTTGCTGTGTGGAAATGTGCTGGGGACAGACCATGTTTCCTGGCTGCTGGCAAGGAAGTGACAGGAGTGTCTGAGTGATGCTGGTTAAAGGAGAAGGAATGTCTTGCCACCACACTCATGTCTCCTGTCCTTCACAGCACCACTGCCGGGCCTGCGGGCAGATCTTCTGTGGAAAATGCTCCTCTAAATACTCCACCATCCCCAAGTTTGGGATTGAGAAGGAAGTGAGAGTCTGTGAGCCCTGCTATGAGCATCTCAACAAGTCAGTACCCTTTGTGGTGGGTTTCTTTGCCTGCAACAGCTGGGGACTTGGAGGGGGGAAGCATGGTGTTGAACTAACTCCCTGCAGAGCACAGCGAGGGCTTCACTGCTGTGCAGGCTGGGCTGGGCCCTCTTCCTTCCTGGGAGTGGGGTTTGCTGCTGGAACATAGTGCAGAGCTGGGCTCTGGTTCAGGGAAGGGATCATTCAGTCCATACTATCACCTGTCACTACAGGAAAACTGAGGGTAAAGCTGCTGCCGCCTCTGAACTGCCCCCTGAGTACCTGACCAGCCCCCTCTCTCAGCAGTCCCAGGTGAGCACCTGCCCCATAGGTGATTTGGTGATCCTGACCTGTTTGTTGATCCCATTACTGACCACCTCCTCATCTTTCCACTTCCAGCTGCCTCCAAAGCGTGATGAGACAGCTCTGCAAGAGGAAGAGGAGCTCCAGCTGGCTATTGCCTTGTCTCAGTCAGAGGCTGAGGAGAAGGAGAGAATGGTTTGTTTGCTGCTGGGATCTGGGAGGGGTTGTTGCTCTTCAGCCCATCTGTGCTGGGCCATAACAGGTCTCTGAACATGTCCTGCTGTGAGCAAGACTCAAAGCCTGTGGAGTGAGTGAAAGCAGAGCTGGGCACAGGCTGTGTTGTGGTTGGTTTGGAGAATCCTAGACTCTTTTTCTCTTTTGCAGAGGCAGAAAACAACCTACTCCATGTACCCTAAGGCTGAGCCCACTCCTGTCACGTCATCGGCTCCCCCAGTCAGCACGCTCTACTCCCCACCCGTGGTATGTCTGTGGCAGCTCCTGGACGTGAAGTGGCTGGACACAGGCCTCTTCCTGAGCCCAAGTCTGCCCTGATTGTGTCCAATTTAATCCCCTTACTGAGGGAAAATACTTGCCCCATTCCATCCCTTGCTTGTTCACTGTTTTTCAGCAAGAAGGTGTGTTCTCAGATAGGACTTAGGTGCTTCCACTCTCAGCTTGTGTCCCCTTTGAGGCTCTCACTGGTGCTCAGCACTGGTGGTCATACATGGCCAGGTCTGAGCTGAACATTTCTGTGGGACCTGGTGATCTCTGGTTTTGCTGAACTGCATTTCTCCATTTGTCTCTTTCCAGAATTCCTCTGCTCCCTTGGCTGAGGATATTGACCCAGAGGTAAAGATCCTGGCCCTGATAGTCTGCAGCACAGGCTTGCTCCTGCAAGGCAGTGATGCTCATCTTCTTTCTCCTCCTGGCAGCTGGCTCGGTACCTGAACCGCAACTACTGGGAGAAGAAACAGGAGGAGGTTCGCAAGAGCCCCACACCATCAGCACCCCTGTCCCTGACAGAGCCAGCTGTGCAGCCTGGGGAGGCCCACCCTGCCCCTCTTGGGGTGGTTGAGGTAAGAGGGGGCCTGTGCTTGGGTCTGGCACTTACTGAGGGGCAAGAAGCACCTGAGTCTTGGGCTCTGCAGGCTGGCTGCTGCCTCTTGGCACTGGGAGGTCACAGCTGACTGGCTGCCCCATCCTTCCTTCCAGCAGCAGTACCAAAATGGTGAGTCCGAGGAGAACCACGAGCAGTTCCTGAAGGCACTGCAGAACGCAGTCACCACGTTCGTCAACCGCATGAAGAGCAACCACATGCGAGGCCGCAGCATCACCAACGACTCTGCCGTGTTGTCCCTCTTCCAGTCCATCAACAACATGCACCCGCAGCTGCTGGAGCTGCTCAACCAGCTGGATGAGCGCAGGCGTGCGTGGGAGCGGGGGGAGCTGCTGCCCTGGGCATGGGTGGGCGGCAGCCAGGGCTCCATAGTGTCAGGGTTCAGCACTCCCATGACGCAGTGTCACCGGAGAGAATCTAGTGTGGAGGGCGGGGGCAGTCCAGGTGCTCTGTCCCCGTGTTCCTGAGGCTGTCCCTTCTCTCCCCAGTGTACTATGAAGGCCTGCAGGACAAACTGGCCCAGATCCGGGATGCACGTGGGGCTCTGAACGCGCTGCGGGAGGAGCACCAGGAGAAGCTGCGCCGTGCAGCGGAGGAGGCAGAGCGGCAGCGCCAGATCCAGCTGGCACAGAAGCTGGAGATCATGAGGCAGAAGAAGCAGGTGAGGCAGGGAAGCATGTCCAGGGTATTCCAGGCCTGCCTGCACTGTGGCCCAGCGCAGGGCTGGCAGGGATGGCTGCCCTGGTAGGGGAGGCTGTGTGGTATCATGGCTCCCAGCCACCACAGCCCTGTTCCCGCAGGAGTATCTGGAGATGCAGCGTCAGTTGGCCATCCAGCGACTGCAGGAGCAGGAGAAGGAGAGGCAGCTGCGCCTGGAGCAGCAGAAGCAGACCATCCAGATGAGAGCCCAGATGCCAGCTTTCTCACTGCCTTATGCCCAGGTACAGCTGCTGGCGTAGGCTCCCCTTGCCAGGTTCCAGGGACTCTAGCTTTAAGCTGGCTTTCCTTCTTCCACCAGCTCCAGGCCATGCCTGCAGCCAGTGGGGTGATCTACCAGCCCTCTGGGCCCACCAGCTTCCCTGGCACCTTCAGCCCAGCTGGCTCCGTGGAGGGCTCTCCCATGCACAGCGTGTACATGAACCAGGCTGCGCAGGGGGGAACTGGGCCATACACTGCCATGCCTGTCACCGGGACTGGTACGTTGGGCAACTCAGCCTCTGTGGGCAGGGGTGAGCCCAAGGTGGCTGCTCCAACCTCTGCTCTCTCCACCCAGATCCCAGCATGGTGAATGCCTACATGTACCAGCCAGGTGCCAGCAGTGGGCAGGGGCCTCAGCAGGGGCCGGCAGTGCCCACCACCACCCCCGCTTATTCATCCTACCAGCCCACACCCACACAGGGCTACCAGGCAAGTGAGGCAGCGCAGCCTGCAGCCAACTGGGACGAGGGCTGGGAGGTTCTGAGGGGCTGGGCAACGTGCCCAAACTCAGCAATGGGATCTCTGAGCAGGAGGGAGGATGGGCTGGTTGGTTCTGAGATCTGCTGCTCTTGCTGTGGAAGTGGGCTGGAGTTAGATCCAGTTCTGGGCTCAAGGGCCTTGTCTGGAGATGTGAGCCATTGCTGTCTGTGCCACCTCTCACCAGCCTCTTCCCACAGACTGCAGCCTCACAGTCGCAGAGCATGCCAGCCATCTCTCAGGCGCCCCAGTCGGGCACCATGGGCTACATGGGCAGCCAGTCTGTCTCCATGGGCTACCAGCCCTACAGCATGCAGGTGAGTGCTCCCTGCTTGGGCATGGGGCAACAAGGCGTGCATGGGCTCCAGCCCATGGAGCCATCCTGGGGGAGGTCTGCTGGAGGCTGGGGGCAGTCACCACTGCCCCGTGGGTGCTGCATGTACCCCAGCCCCTCTGACACCCACCCTCATTCCCATAGGGTCTCATGTCTGCCCTGCCAGGCCAGGACACAGCTTTGAGCAGCCTGCCAGCCCAGCAGTCCTACCTGCCGGGGCAGCAGCCCCTCTACCAACAGGTGAGTGCTACGAGCCCAGGGGGCCAGGACCCAGTGGGGCACATATGCCAACGAAGCCACACACTAACAAAGCTGTTTCCTCTGCTCCAGGTGGCCCCAGCTGGGGGTCCCCCCCAGCAGCAGCCCCCAGCAGCACCTGCTCCTGGGCAGCAACCCCCAGGCAGCGGAGAGGCCCAGCTCATCTCGTTTGACTGATCGCGGCCACAGGGCACAGGGATCTCAGGGGTCCCGTGGGTCCAGTGAAACACTACTCTTCATCCGAAATCACTCTGTACTTCGACTACTCGTCCTGCCCCCGACCCCGTGTCCCAGGGGCGGTGGGGCCACAGGCTCCTACTGCCGGCTTTGGGGACCAAGGGGCAGGGTGCAGCCCCCCCATGCCCTGCAGCCTGGGGCAGCCCGGCTCCCCGCGCCCACCCTCGGCAG